CCAACGGTAGGTATACCTGTGATTTCTGTGTTGCTTTTTTTTGTAAATGTTTTTTACGAAGAGCTTCATGAAGGTCGTAGATCCGTGAGAGTTGTGTGTCGGATAGTGCTAGAGAGGCAGCTTAGGAAGAGTATGCGCAAAGGACATGAAATTATGGGACATGTAATGGAAGATAAGGAAAAATTCGAGGGTTCTGGTTGTAATATTTTGTTTCATTTGCGATGGCAAAGCTAGAAAGGACATCTGGACTCTGAGATCTCAAATATCATGGGATGTGAAGGAGAACTGAGGGGAACTGTTTCTATTGTTCTGTGAATCTATTTCAACGCTACATCTTTCGATTTTCAGCTCGGTCGCACACGATTTGTATTATTACATGCACCGTTTGCTCTTCTTGAAAAGCAGGCACAACTTCTTTCTGTGAAGCTTCCTGTTCAACAAAGCGATGTGGATTTTCGGGTGCGAGCCTTAGCATTTGTAACGATCCTTCCTATGCCGACGATAGGATTGTATTTCTACAAGTTCCCCCTTGGCCTGCCTGAATATTGCATATTTAGGACAGAACATCGCTACCTGGTTTTGTAGACAGTATTCTTTCTCGCGCTGGTTTATTTGATTTCGATGAGCGTGTGAAGAAAGTACTGGAGGAGCCGGATTTTTTCACCGCACCCTACTCGAGTGACCGTCGGCAACAGTGAGTTATAATTGCAACGTTTGCGTGATTCATCCATACACGGCTCAAAGTTCATTCCTTTTTTTACAATCGTATTGTCTTTCCGGCACAATTGCATTTTTAGATTTGTTAACTGGGATCGACCGGATATTTTGTTTCCTAATGCAGAAAGATCACGAATGGTCTATGATTTGCTCACTCGAGCACATTATGATTCTGTAACGGACAGAGGAAAGCGTACAACTCAGTACCGATTTGGTATTGAACGACTGCTAGCCCAAGGAGTATATAACGCAGCTTACCCACTGCATCAGGTGCGGCATTTTCGTTTGGAGATGAAATTTTCATGTTTTCAACGGCAAATGGGTGTGGGAACCGCTCGGAAGCCCTTGAATTCAATTCTTAAAATTTTCATTTCTTCTCTGTTTAGACGATTCGGGATCATCTGCCTAGAGGAGGTGAGGTGTCTCAGCGAGAACTACTCTACAATCACTGGGTGTCGTGGAGAAATATTCTGAAGTATCAGCCTTTGGACTGCATAAAGTTAGTTTTTATTGTGCATACACTGTTTCGGCTCCTTTGGAGTACATCATCTCTCTGGTTTTAGGCTCGAATACTAGAAAATGAATGTGACTTTCTGGCGATATTTAGGTCATCATTTATTCATTTCTATGCACTGTATATTCTCCAACTCTTCTAAGAACCAAAATTTAGTACTTTTTGACAAACAACTGACCTAACTAGGTTTTAAGTAAACATTTATCACCGGTGTGTCAGAAGTATTAATCTAAACATTTTTGAAAAAGCTCGACGCATTCTTGTAAGTGTGCATTAATCTCCTTTTTTACAGAAGATATTTTGGCACCAAAGTCGCTTTCTACTTCGCTTGGTTGGGTTACTATACAAGGTCATTATATACGGCAGCGCTATTGGGAATCATAGCTGTTTTGTTTGGAATTTGGAACTTGTCCGAGGATGTAGTCAGGTGATTGTTGCTTCTAATTATTTTCTTGTAAGGTTCAGTTTGTTCAGCAACTACGGATATATGTGGGGTAATGATTAACTTTCCGTTTTTCAGCAATGACATTTGCGGCAATGATGGTGTAGGAGCAACTACCATAATATGCCCTCAATGTGATAATTACTGTGACTTTCAACTTCTGAAGAATAGCTGTCTTTATGCAAAGGTGCCTCTCAACATCTTTTCCTTCCTCGACCATTCCACAGAGTATATGCTGAGCTGTTGCAGATGTCGTATCTCTTTGATAACGGTATCACTGTAATATTCGCTGCTCTAATGAGTGTTTGGGCGACGTTTTTCCTCGAAGGCTGGAAAAGATACCATGCGGAAATTGCATGGAAATGGGGATTGCTTGACTTTGTCGTTGAAGAGGTGAGCGCTGTGCAGACCTGTACCAGTCTTTTATTTGTCGCATCTTACGAGTTACCCAAGTCATTACTCTCCTTTTTTGTACGAGCAGATAGCTCTTTCCGAATTTTAGCTGCATTCTGAGGAGTATGAGCAAAAAAAAGTTTGTCAATTGAAAGAACTATTTAGAACTGTCATATTTCCCCTCTAAGAAAAGTCTGCCCGCATTTCAGGACACAGTGCGTCCCGACTTCCAGTTCCGTGTGAAAACTCGTCGATACAATCCAGTAACCCAGCAGGAAGAGCCGTATCTGTCTGGAAAGAAAAAATTTGCGAATTTTTGTGCCGGAGGAGTTACAGTTCTTTTCTTCGTGAGTGCTTTCCCGCATCTTATGGTGTTGAATAGCTGATCTTACTCTTGAATTTCTTGTAGATGTGTCTCGTTCTTGCTGTTGTATTCGGAATGGTCGTTTATCGAGTGATTTGTATGAGACTCTTAGCCAGTGTAAGAAAACATTCTAAACTTTTGTCTTGAAGTTCCCCATTAATTCACTTTTCATTTGGTTTCATTTCTTTAGATGGATAATCCAACCGTTGATTCGTATGCGTTCCTCATAGTGTCCAGCACGGCGGCCTCCATTAATCTGTCCATTATATTGTGCATGAATTACGTAAGAGTTTGGAAATGACTTTTTCCATTTTTTACACTCATTGTCTTACCAGCTATTAGTATTTCAGTTCTATAATTCTCTGGCACATCGGTTGACACGCTGGGAATGCCCAAGAACACAGGCAGACTTCGATAACAGTTACACTTTCAAAGTGTTCCTGTTCCAATTTGCCAACTACTACTCGTCACTGTTTTACGTTGCGTTCTTCAAAGGAGTGTACGTTAGGCGTAGCCCTTTTGCTTGTGAGCATCCCAGACAGCTTATAAAACTTGTTAGATTGCGTAGTGACCTATTTTCAGCCTTTCGCAATTACCTGGCACGAAGGATAACGATGGCAATGTAAAAATTGCAGGATATCGGCTAGAGGTATTTTGTACTACATTTTCGAATCTAGTTTTACAATATTCACCAAGTATTTGGTGGATCCATTAATTGTTTTTGATTAGTTTCCGCATTATATAACTCTTATCGGTTGACTATCAGTTTGAATCGGAAATTTTTCCTGTAGGGATGCGATCCAGCTGGCTGCTTTGTTGAGTTGGTAATTCAGCTCGCTATTATTATGTGTGGAAAACAATTCTTCTCAGCTCTCGTGGAATTCGCTTACCCGTGTGTTCTTTTTCTTCCATTACTGCTAGAATTTTGTTCTGATACGCATTAGTCATGTTAACTTCAGGAATTTCATGAGATTGTTGAGGCGGTGGCAGTTGATGGTTCCAATCGTTGAGACCAAAGAGCAGCGTAGGCAACGTATAAGTGAAGAAACAAATAAGGTCTGTGTTTGTTATAAGTGTGATTTCAATCGGGATTGTTGCTGCTGTTCAGGCAGTTATTTACAAACTTATTCTCAGCTTTTATTTCCTACTTTCCACACCAACTTTGATTGAAACACTGTTGAGCATTCGCTTTACCACGGTTTCTTACGCTCTCTGTCTTTGTACGACGCTATCTCTTCCAAAGTTACTGTTTGGTGAAAACTGTTATCTCTTGATTTTGTTTTGTATCCATCTGTATTTCCCTCTATCATCTTACAATTAATTACCCCGATTATTGCCAACTTTAATTTTATTCTTTTGGATTCTCGGAAATCAGTGAACAGGCGGACGTGTTCTAATTTTCATTCGGTTTAGAAAGCAGGCCACGTGATGAACAGATGGGAGGCTGACTATTATTTGAACCCTACCTATGATCAGTTCTTATTCGACGAGTATTTGGAAATGGGTAAACCATGTTGTGCCTGAGATCGAGTTATTTTGAATTTAGTATTTTTTGTCGTTTGCAGTGCTGCAGTTCGGATTCGTCACATTGTTTGTGGCAGCATTCCCATTAGCTCCTCTGTTTGCGGTTCTCAATAATATTTTCGAAATCAGGCTCGATGCCTACAAGTTTCTTCTCACGATTCAGAAGCCCGTTCCTGCTCAGGTTTTTTTTGTGGCTTCTGACGATTTTATATCGTTGTTTCATGGATGTGCGCGCAACCTGCTCTGTTTCAGGCGAAGAACATCGGTGTGTGGTTGAGCATCCTGGACATGATCAGCAAGTTCACTGTTCCGATCAATGTGAGTCCATTACTCATTAGATATCGTTTAAGACACACTTGCTTGGGTCACCCATGACGTGAACGATTCATTCCGGGCAAGAACCCATTTGGTAGTACATTGTCTGGTGTAGATGAAATGGTAAATTATTATTTGCATATTTGTAGGCTAAGATTAGTTGCTTGAAAGTGTGGAAATGGAGATTATCTTGCTGAAAACTAGGTGTACTCCGAGTTTTTTGGCATTGATTTACTTTGCGCACTCGATTTAATACAATGACTTATGGGGTGTTGTACAACTTATTACCTTCGTCCACCCCTATAATCTGCCACACTGAAAGGATGAAGAGTTCCCATGGGTTGGTGTCAATTCATAATCTAATTTCAAACCATTAGTTGAGTAAGGATACTTTTCCGACTTGCAAAAATTCCATGTATTATCAGGAAGAGGAGAGATATTTGTCTAATAGTCAATGTCACCACCAAGTGGTATGTCGTGGAAAAGTGGGGTTACTACCTTTTCACTTAAGATAGGCATGCTTTGAGTTAATGTGTGGAGATCTCGCCGTGATTGCTTTCATGATTGCCTTTCTTTTAAATATGCCGGGTTGTTAATTTCAGGCGCTTGTGATAGCGTTCACGTCGGACTTCATTCCGAGGACGTTGTACCTCTTAGCTAATAGTTCAATGATTGGCTACGTTGACTCATCTCTGTCGTACTTTGATGCTACCGATTTCGACATTAAATCCACGCAATTCCACAATGTCACCCAGTGCAGGTAATTCTTAAATTATGTGTTTAAAGTGATACACTTAAATCGTTTTTTGTCGATATCCTTATGTAATTTCCCTGAAGGTATCGCGGGTTCCGTCGATCCCCATGCTCGTTAATGTCGGAGAGGTGGACGGTATATGGCTCGGAAGGATGTGATGACAATTTAGGATACTCATTGGTTTGGTGGAAGGTGTTTGCCGCTCGGTTGTTGTTTGTGGTCATTTTCGAGGTAAGCGGTCAGAAGAGAGGCACCAATGTCGACGGCAACAACTTTTGTTTTCCAGCATATCGTCTTTGTGATCAAATTATTGATTGAATATCTGATCCCTGATGTTCCTGCAAGGATATTCGTTCAACAGCAACGGGAGAAGTATCTTGTAAGAAAAGCCTTACTAAGTGAACTCGTGTCAGGGAAGTCATCAGCAAATGGGCCTTCGTCTGAGCGAAAAGCGTAGGTGATTCGCTTCCAATATTCTCTGTTCTGAAGCTTACTCCCAACAACTGAACCATGGTAACTGCGATAGTTATAGAGCTTTGAACGGGGATACCATCGAGACAGCGTTTCAGCCAGGGTCTTTTGAAGAAAATGTAGGTTTCTATCAATTGTATCAGTTAAACATTTGTTTTGATCTGGCTTTATCCTCTTTCCATTAAAAGTTTTTTGAAATGATTGCAGTTACCACGGAAAGATTCGGAATCGTCGTACACAACGGCTTATCAAGGCCGAGGAAGTCTTCAAAACCTTCCCCAATCCGGTTC